AGAAGGATTTTACAGCAAAGCCTTTAAGTGAAACTGAGGGATTTCCCTGGGGATGGGGTGACACATATCTGTTCCCTCACCCTTGCTGTAGGCAACGTGCCCCGTTCACGGACAGCTCAGGTGCCTCCTCCCACCCCATCCCGTTGAACCTGCAGCGAGGTTTTCCTCTGGGAAAGCCGCAGTAGCGCAGGCCGGCTCTGCCACACGGCAGCGTCGTCCTCACCGCCGCTCCGGACGCCGCCTGCCCGCCTGGCATCGAGCCAGAGCCGGCGCAGCCCGGCCTCGCCAGCGCGCCTGAGCCGAGGGGGAAGGCGCTCCGATGTCCCCGTCCGATCCCGGGTTGCCGGCAGGCCGGGCCTGGTCCGTGCTGCCCTCCCTGCGCCGCTCTGGCACACGCGAAGGGAGCGGGCGCTGCGGCCGTGCGGATCAGCAGCGCTCTGCTCCGCTCCGCGCTGGTTCACGCCAGCCAAGGCCTCCTCCAGAAAGCGAGGGGACACAGGCCGTTCACAAGGCAGCCCACCATCTCGTTTCCACCCGAGCCTCCTACCTGAGGGAGAACGATTTTCCCTTCTGACCTCAGAGGTACCTCTCGCTGCCTCTCAGAACCGCCAGCTCCAGCCCTGCTGAATTTCACGCTGGTTCAGGGGCTGCCGTTTTTGGATGGACAGGGACGCTGAGGTTAGCCTCAGACAGCGTTAGCAAGTTTGGGTAACTCTGCTTCCAAAAAAAAAGTCTGTTTTGTCTGTGGTTGGGTGGCCTTAGGCAGGGAGCCATAGAAACTGTCCTGGAATGGTTTTGTTATATATGGCAAAGAGGCCATGAGAGAAAGCTGAGGTGGATGCAAATGTGGGAGAGGGAGCCCTCCCTCCTGCTGGGGTTTAGGAAGCTGAAAGAGAAAAGGAAGGATTTTGTGCCGTGACAGTCACAGCACAGAGGGAACGGTGCAGTTTGCTCTGGGGCTCTCACCACCACGGCTATGGAAAGCTGCAGGAGCGGCTGTCAGAGCTGGGTTCTATTAAAAATCAGTGGCTCAATGTACAGAGTGGGGGGTGGATCCATGCCCTGGGCAGGACCCGTCCAGCCCGCAGAGCTGCCCTGTGCAGCCCAGGAGCTCCTCATGCAGCCAGGGCAGGGCCCGGAGCTCTGCGGGCAGCGATGCCCTTCCCGCGCGGAGGCCGAGCCCGGGTGTCCTCTGAGAGCAGAGAGGAGGGCAGCGAAGAGCCAGGCGTGAGGGAACCCGTCTGCAGCAGCAGAGCAGCAGCCGCAAACCTCCCCTCGAGACAGTGGCAGTGCAGGGCTCCTCTGCAGGCAGGAGCAGCACAAACTCGCTGTATGCTAAGTCTCATCTTCGCTGCTAATAGTTAAGTGGTTTATTTGAAATTTATCATTAAAAAAAAAAAGAAGAAGAAAAGCAAAAAGAGGAGCGTGTGCACGGCAGCAGTGCTGGATATGCCATTAGCCCTGGCGGGGCTGTCTGCAGCCGCGTGTCCGACTGGGGGGAAGGCTCTGCTTTCCATCCACGCCTTGCACAGCAGAAGCGGTTTCCTTTCATTCCTTTCATCACCTTGGAGCTTGCAACCTTTTGCTTTCCCTTGCTGGGCTCCTACTCTCACATAGTCAGAGAGAGGGAGGTGGAAATAGGAAAACGTGTCATTAGGGGAAAAAAAGAACTTCAAAAATTCCTTTAAACAGCTCCCATCTGCCCCGTGCCTCCTCAGTGCGCTGTAGCCCAGTCTCCTGGGTCCTCTCCAAGAGCGCGGTGCTTTAGGGAAGAGGTTGAGCATCTCCGTTTGGTCTGGCTCCTCTCCCGGACCCCAATGTCTTTCCCTGCTCAGAGCTCCCTTAGCCTCATCTAATTTTTTTGGCACAAAAAAAAAGGGAGCAGCCCCCGTCAGAAACAGGGAGATGTGACATTTTCCTTTGGCCAAACACCTCCATCTTCTGAAATGCCAGAGCTGCCGAGCAATTAACCCAAGCACATGGCAAGACAGTCAAAATCAGTTAATTGGGAACATACTGGTGACAAAATGTGACAATGGGGACATACAACAAAATGTGACCGTCCCCTGCCTCCCACAGCAGACTTTCCCACTCTTTAACACGAGCTCTCAGGCAGAGCTCCCTTTCCCACATGGGTATATGTCATATACATATACGTGATGCCAGAAGCAGTGAGACACACCAGCAGCAGGACTGAAGCCACTCGGTGACATGACAGTCCCCGCGCGAAGAGGCTTGAAAGATGGGCCAGGGGCAGGTTTGCAGGTGCCCCCACCCCCAACACGAAACCTCCCCACACTGTGAGGTTTTACACCCCGAAAGGGAAATAATCAGGGATGAGGTGAGAACCACCAGGACATGACTGCAGTATTTCAAAGCAGGCAGTGTGCAGGCAACATGGTAGAAGGGGCACGGAGCAGCCAAGGGCACCAGCAGGCGCCAGCCCCTCTCTCCCACGGTGGCCCAGCGTGGTTTTTGGCAGGTTTTTGGCAACTCCACACTGGGAGCCAATGCCAAGGAACACTTCCAGCACCCCAGAAGACAGAGGCTGTATTGGCCTGTGATGGAGCTGGGAGATGATTTGCTTTGGGAACCCAAAGTGAGGACCAGCTCGAGCTGTGGGTTTGTTCTGCTCTCCTTCTGCAGGAGAGGGGTCTCCTGAGCCCCGTCCTGCTGCGGGGTTGCACCTCTCCGCAGCAGGGCAGAGCGGAGAGCGCCGCGATGCCACCGCCGCATCCCCCCTCTGGCAATGCCAGGACTCTAGTCCTGGCTCCCCAGAGCAGCTTGCAGGCAGGATCACGTCCTAAATCCCACCGCAAAGGCATTGCCTTGGACCAAAGCACCCTCCTCTCTGGCTAGAAAGAAAGGCCAGCATAAAACTGTGTCTGCGGCCCCCCTTCTGCCCGCACAGAGAGTTTCTCCGTGGGAAGAAGCAGCCTCCGGAACAGGAAGATCCGTTCTGTAGCCCTGCGGCTGCCGTGCCCTTGGCAGCAGTGACCCCCTCCAGCTGCGCGCGCAGACCCTGGAGATCCCCAGCTGCAGCCAGAATCAACAGGGACTTTGTTGCCTCCCGACAGCGCTGAGGCTCCCAGAGCTGAGCAGCCCTCGCTGGTGCTCCCAGCCAGCCAGCAAGGAACCCTTCCTGCCTCATCCATCTCCCGGGATGGGCTGATACCACACGGACCAGAGCATGGGTTGCCTGGAACATGGGGATCTCACCATCGAGCAGCCAATGTCTCCGAGTGATTCCTAGGGCTGGCTGAACCCCGCAGTGCCCATCACACTGGCTCTGAGGGAACTACAAGCAGTGTTGGCCAGGGCTGTCCCACAGCTCCCAAAGACACCCCCAAAGGCAGATGAGGGGCACATCCATCGGCACAAAGATCTTGGTGCCAGGCTACGGTGACAGGGAGAAGAAGCAACAACTGCTGGCAGATCTCAGCTCATCCTTAGGGTGATGGAGAGAGAGGAAAGAAACCCCACAAAGGGGATTGTCCCATGCCACCCACTGCTGGAGCCGGTGCAGCCAAGGCAGAGCAGACACCCCGCAGCAGAGCTGCCCTTGAGTTGGACACACCGGGGCTGCACGCGCTGCCTCTCGTGGCACAGAGCGGTGACGGCCCCACGGTCACCCCTGAGCCCGTGGTGAAGGTGGAGCTCCGAGGGCCAGCGCCGTGCCCAGCGGCAGCCGTGGCACCCAGCTGGACCCTGCAGCACGGACACACGAGACTGCGACAGTCAGTGGCACCCAATAATCCCACGTCACCTTCACAGGTTTCTAGGACTCTCCCAGCATGTTAATGCAAATCCCAAGTCTAAACCGCACTGATTTCATATAGATCTGTCAGCTCTGCTGCCTGGGAAAACAGAAATGGGGAGGCAGACTTGCAAAGCCATGCATTTCCACTGTAAGCTCCTTAAAGCTTCTTTTACATTCAAGTGGCTTTGCATTTCATCTAAAAGGAAACCACTCTGTGCACGACCCAAAGCTTTGGCAGCCAGTTTGAATGCAAATGACCTAGTGAAAGGACGGATCCTGTAGAAGGGGGAAAGTTTATTTATAGAACCCTTCTGCTTCATGAAGATGCCAGAAAACCACCAGATCAGCCCCTCAGGAAACAGGAGAGGTAATAGTTGTCCTTCAAGCAGAACAATTCCCTGGTACCCACCAGGCAACACATTCAGCTCCTATCCTTGAACTCACCTTCCCGAAGTACAAGAAAAAGCAGATGTTATTAGCAGGGATAATAATAAGTAGCACTGACAGCTGCCAAACTCTGCAAACAGCAGTAGGGTGGTAATTTGCAGGCTGGTTTTGCCTTTGGCAGTTGATACAGTTTCTTAAGGCAAAGCTTTTTCAGTGGTTGTATCGTACCTGGGTATTGGGTTGGCAACCGGAAAGGTGAGGTGGTTTGGTTAGGCACATCTGCTGCAGAGATGTCCCAGCTAAATAGCAAAATGTGATGTAAAATCAGGACTTGGCTGAATTAGCAGAGATGGAGAGCAGCTGAGAAGTGAAGCAGCAAGGATGAAAAAATGTTAAACTTTGGGAACATGAACCTACCTGCCTGGAAAACCAGCAAGAAATGTAGCTGGTGAGGCAGAAGAGTGCTGTGGAGAGGTGGGATAACTACCTCCAAACAGTCTTGAAGCTCAGCTCTCTATGAAGAAGGGCAGGGGAAATGACCCACCAGCCCTGATTTCTCAGAATCAGAAAAGATTTGGAAAAACTCGAAGCACAGGCAAAGAGAACATTGTTTTCCATTTTCCCTGGGAACAGGATGAGAAATCCCTCGGGCTCAAACTGCAGCAAAGGAGGTGTGCAAGACAGAGACTGAAGAAAACCTGTAATGGGAAAGGCCACAATCCTCGGGATTGCAAAATTCAAGAATACCAACCCTACTAAGAAGCCATTAACTAGCTCTGAGGTCCACCACCAGCTTGAGAACTTGCAGCAGCTCCAACCACAGCTTTCCTGTGAGGAACCCGGGCACACTCACCTATCCTGGTGGGGAAGATGTCTTCATTGTTAATGAGCATCTCAATCCAGTCCATCAGCATACACATGTACTGGGGGGCCGACAGCTTGGTCGGCTTCTTGTATTTGTTGTCATCCTGCCACCTGTATTCGTACTTGAGCCCACCCGACATGATGGGGCAGCTCTTCTCTGTGCAGTACTCTGACATGGTCCCGTAGATGAGGTTGATGCGGTTGAAGAAGTCCACCACGTGCACTGCAATCCAGTCATTGATGCTCTCCCCGGGAGGCAGCTGCACCACGGCCTTCAGGTCCAGCCCGGACTTCAGGGAGGCCTGAGCTTTCTTGTACAGCTCGAAACGCTGAGTGCCGGGTTCAAATTTCTTCCGGGGACGAAATGTTTTGTCCTTATTGAAGACTTGTTTGAGACACAAAGCCATCATGGGGTAGGCTGGCCAGGATTGTGGCAGACGCTCAGCACAAAGTGAACTCCAGGACTGGGATCTTCAGGGCTGGAGATTGCTGGAAGGAGAAAGAAGCAAATTTTGGTCATATGTGAGGCCAACGATGCTTGGGTCTCACTCTCACAGGGATGCATCAGTGCCAAGATGTTGGCTCACCCTGTTGCTGAGGCAACATGCAGGGACCGGGAGGATCAGGGCTGAATCCCTGGCTCCTCCACAGGTTCACACAGCCCCACTGCACCATCAGTGCAGGGGATTCTTTGTGTTGCCCCGTGTGTTTGTCCAAAAGAACAAAACCCGCATGCGGAGAGGGGAAGCGACAGCCGGGAGCAGCGTGTGACGGGCCAGGATGCCGGTGTCCCTCTGGTAGCAGCACAATGCACAAAGGAGCAGGCAGCAGGGACAGAGCAGCCACCTCACCTGCATCCACGGCGGGGGGGGGCCTCCATCTGGCAAAAACCGCTGAGCTCATCCCTTCCTGCCCGCCTGAA